TTTCCAACATCCTAAAATGACTCATTTTCAGTGTTTTAAGATGACCAGGAAAGTACACTATAGTCTGTATGATGGAACCTGTCTGCTGATCCTCCGTTTATCTGAGGACTAGACAGTGGTTTTAAGGTTCGAGCCAGTGCTAGGTAGACGAAGGTTTAGGAGATAGGTCACATCTTACAATCTATGGCAATATCCATTGTTAAAACCGAAACTGGAGTAACTTACTCAGCCCAGGAAAAAGGTTCTGATCCCTTTGAAAGTGAAGCTGTAAAATCGTGAGATCTCATCACGGAAACGCAGCCTCTCACTCAGGTGCTGGGACTCCTTGAGTGTGAGAACATTGTGAGTCATTTCTTTGCAAAGATCTCACATACCCAGCATGTCAACAGCATCACGAAAAAGTTACACGTCACGAAGCAAACGGGGACACGCTCGTCAAAGTTGTGTTTCTTAGTTTTTCAAGTTAGGAATCGTGATTATTATTCAAGTTGGGAACAGTTTGCCAGGAATATTAGAAAAAAAATTATGGATGTATCATAAAATAATATAAACAAATGATATAACTGGCCCGAATCGTATATTATAACATTAATATGGTTTCGACAGTTTTATAAGTAATGTTTAAAAACATTTTAATCTCGGGTCAGTGACATCATCTGTTTTTTTTATGATTCATACAGTTTCTGTTCTTATATCCATGGACTTGATGTTTTGAAGTGCTAAACATATGGCATTCAATGCCGTTTAATTTAAATGACCAGCTGTGTTTTGTAATTTGTGTTTGTTTACGTCTTTTCAAAACAAGCGTTGTGCCTTTGAATAATTGTTCAACTTTAACGTATTTAAAGCCGAAAGAAAGTTTAATTTTGAAATACAATTACCTTTACAGTTCGTAAAGCTAATTTAAATTCGCAAAATTCGTAACGCCACTAGGAAGTAATGCCTAATTTGTTTGAAAGATGTTTTGGGCGGAAGACCAGAAGGGATTCCACAACAGACGGGCAGCCTACCACTTCTGCCGATGGGACGACCAACTCCACGAACCAAGAAGATAAATCGGTAGACGGCATTGAAACCGGGAGAAAAAGATCGAGTGTGATAAGAAGTTCGAACGTGGAAAAGAAGATCATTCCACCAGTCGCCGGACTTATTGCGGACCGAGAAAATACCATGGGGAAACTGAATAAAGCCATGGCGAAGCTCGAGTCTTTAGATGAAGACAAGAAAAAATAACAATATGCATAAATGTATTTTGAAGATTAAAATTGATAAGTATGCATCGTTCTTTCTTTCGTGCTCTTTGAGGTGAAATAGTTATATCTTCCTTTAATCAACTGCATTGATTAAATCTTTGGATTTATTGTAAGGAGTTTCCCATTACAAAGTGGTAGTCGCTTAAGGGATTTGATTCTTTTTGTATAAAGTTGGGCCTTCAAAGCTTTACGTGGAGCTGAGTAGTTAGGTAATTGTTATATTACTTAGTTTTAGTTTTGTGATTTGAACCCGGGCTTAGTCCTCACTACAACAACAGAAGAGGACTTTTTCACTAACACCACAGAAAACATACGTGCTAAACACTCATGAGAACCAGAGAACAGGTTCTTTTGCACTGAAAATACTCTTTATATATCATTGTGTTTGATGGATATTATAGTTGTATGCATCACGTTCGAATATTATTACGTGGGATTATAAATGGGTAAATGAAGCCAGCTCGACCATAAAAAACGGAAAGTAAATAAGAGAAACGTCTTATAACACTTAAAAGTGTGTTGTTTTTTGTAATTGACGACCCCCAACTTCATCACACGGAAGCCTGCTTCTTCCTATTTATTCTCTGTTTCCATCGAATGAAACTTTGAAAAATTGTAAATATAAATACTCTCGCTGCAACAAACCTGCTAAGTGAATTTCTATTATTTGGCCAATGAAATTATATTTCCTTTTACGTGTCTGATTTATTCCCTATTTAAAGAAGATAAACTTAGCGATTACCTACTTAGTTTTCTGCTACAGGTCAACTCATAAATCTATTCTACAGGGAATATATCAGGATTTTGGTAAAAAAAAGTAAGTAATACAAATAGCTTCGTATAAAATCAATGAATTTGCCCAAATCGATAAAAATGTAATCCATTTACTTGAAAATTTTTAAGTACAGCTTAAAAATATTTTTTAATAATAATCGTACAATAACACTTATATGTGCGTAACTAATTTTGTTTCTAGTATTAGAAAATTGTTTAGTAAGACATCATAGAAATTTACTGTTTTGAACGTCAAGATGGGAAACACTCTTTTTACCACATAAAACCCCGTTTCCCTAGTCCGACTCTACTGGTCCGGAAACTAAATATGGGACATTTGCTAAAAATATATCGCACTAAACTTGACTCTTGAAAATAAATGAACAAATTCATAAACATAAAAGTACCTAAAATCTGGTTAAAAAATTTAGTATTGAGACCACCCATTCATGAGACTTAATCAAATCGCAATTTAAAGTATTTTTTATGTATTTACTTGCTTAAAAATTGATATTGTTGCATATTGTGCATTGTAACATTTACTGCGCTTGTTGAAAAAAAAACTTGCTATGAGCATAGACAAAGAGAATCTTTTTGTCTATGCTATGAGACATCCTTAATGATGTCCTTGTTTAGTAATTTACGGAACCTACAAAATGTGTTTTCTTTATTTAGCTACAAATTTTTCCTATTAGTCTGTCGATTACTATGAAAATAATAAAGACTTGTATTCGTGACGTGTTGGTTACAGTCAGATGATTTAATTGTTCGCCACATATTTATGTTCGGTTTGCCAAACAAAACTGGCTGTGTTGTTTCCAAGTTTAATGTGCTATTACCGGTTTAGTTTTTAGTATAATTTTACGAAACTGTAGACGAGTCAGTTTAAATAACGGTAGGTCTGTGTTAGAATGTTGAAAACTATATTCTCATGGTTCGGCAAAGAATCGAAAGAGTACTCTCCACCTTCTGAACGTTCTAAACATTCTAAACGTTTTGACCCGTCTCAACCCTCGACATCAGGTACTGGACACGTAGTCGACGACGCCGGTGCATCCGTCATCAGCATTTCCTCTGAGGATAGCACTCGTAATTGGCCCAACGTCATCAGGAGTTCCTTCGTTGAGGAGAGGATTTTGCCGCCAGTGTCTGGTCTTCTAGCGAGGGATCACGTTGAGGAAAGATTGAGCAAGATTATCGACAAGTTTGACGCTTTAGAGCTGGACTCTCCTGATCCTCAGAAGAAAGAGTGATAAAGTAAGTTTTCCTGACTTGGTGACTGCGGCGTTTTCTTCGACAGCTCGTGTTTTGGTTGGAAAAACATTACTTTTGGACTTGGACTCCTCCCACGGACATTATATTCATTGTTCGTGAGTTATTCCATGTTTCAAAGAGTCAAACTGATATAAGTTAAACATTTTTTTTTGTTTTATAACGTAAATCTTTGTGATGTCTTCATGATTTTTCTCAATTTTTTCTTGAGCCATTGTATGTACCTGAACTTTGCTTTATTGTGATGGAATAGGTATTTGTGATCATATTTTTTCATAGACTTTGAATAAACGTGAATAAACGTTTTGGTTTGGTTACAAATATACTGATTTATAGTGAGTTCTATACTCATTTGAACTATCTTCAGGTATTTGTGATTTTACTCGGAAACTATTCAATATAACTGTCCTCTGTTTATTTTTATTGTTCATTTTCTCACCAAACAAATTTTAAACCCTCAAAATGCGTAAATACATCAACTGGTTGTTTGGCAAACGCAAGAGTGAACGGAAGTCTGAAGATGCCAAACCGTCTACTTCCGAAGAGCACACTTCCATATCCATAGACCTTGGACCGGAGTCTAAGATCTTTGGGGACGAAGACCAAGGAGATGCTGCGTCCAAGACCAGATCCTCAAGATCTTCAAGCAGGAGGTCTTCGGTTCTCCAGAGCACAGTTGTGGAGGACAGACACAGTGCTATTCCACCTGTCACTCAGCTGGTGCAGAGGCAGACTACCGCTGAGAGGATCAGCAAAGTCATGGACAACTTTGACTCATTACTCCAGGAGTGGCCTGAGCTCAAGAAGTAGTTTGTGTTTTGTTAGTTGCTGTTGTTAAAAGATTTTGTCTTAAACAAATGGTTGTTGTTTTTTTCTTTGAATAAAGCTTGTTTTGACCATATTCATCGAATCTGTTTCATTATTTTATTTTCATCTCAATTCAAGTCACAGGAATCAAGGGACATGCTAATTGAGTGGTATACATGTTCAATTCAATATGACATTGTAGCCTACTTAAAAAAGATGGTATGTGACTTGGAATCGACCTTTGAATAAGCATGAACATGATGTTATATGATCACTTCTATGTATGATATAGCATGCTCTCCAGATAACCTCCCTAAATAATCGCGTTTCTTGTTGATCAATTGAAGATTGAATTACGAGAATCCACAGGTTTTAACATCCGTACCGTAAACGCAATAGTTATTCGCTATGTTATAGCTGAAAATTAAGTTGGTAGGATATTCTACGCGAAAATAAAATTAAGAATTGTTACTTTTACCAAGATGTATTACTAGTAGTAGTATTAAAAGAAGTGTATACTACTTTCTACGTACGCCTCATACTTTTGTTACTTTGCTTGTTTGTGTTGAATGGGAAAAACTTCTTTACTACTGAACGCGGATGTTTCTCTCGCTGTTGATACACAGCCTCTGCGCTGCTGAGTAGTTATAACTCCTAAGTAGTAAGAGTAAAAACTGGTAGAAGACTTTTGAAATATCTAAATAGGCCCCTCTTACCATCATCGGATTCATATAAATTGTTCTGGCCAATTGCAAAGCTGATCAATGACAAACCAATAGAAGGCATGTCACCTCATTTGACACCCGTCCTGCATTCATATTTGTGTTTGCCTATGTTTTGTACCCGCAATTGGTAATAATGGTAATGGTCTTAACATATTTTCTATTGTTACAGAACACATACACGAACGCGGAGAAGCTGCTGACTGCTGCTGAGGAGCTCGCGCAGACTGGCGAGTGTAACGCTGACGAGATCTACTCTGTAGCTCACGAGCTCGAGAGTCACGTGACCTCGTTCGCGGCTCGTGTGGAGCAGCGGCGGCGGAGGTTGGATCTCGCTGTGCACTTCTACACTCAGGAAAAGGAGGTAGGAAGTTCTCCATAATTTTTTTTTTCATCTTCAAGGTTATAGGCCGGAATTGTTTTCTACATTGTTTAAGGATAGGTCTAGAGGGGATCGCGGGATTTTCACATGGATGAAGTCGACTGGAGATTAAGGGGATTAGAACCCAGGACCTTGAGGACCGAAGTCCCGTGCTCGACCACTAGACCAGTTTTTAATCTGGGAACTATCTTCTTCTTTTTTGCTGTCCCATCTTCACATCATAGGACGTTGGGCTCTATCTTGCAACCGTTTACATATCACTTCAGGCTAAGCCTAGAGGTTCGTGGTAATCATTTGGATAGAAATCCATTTGTGAATGAGGGGGATTTGAACCCGGAACCTCGTGGCCGAAGTACCCTGCTCTACTTAGACCAGTTTGTTCCTCGAAATATTTTTGGCATAACATGTACTTGCACGTGGAGTTAATTGGTGTATAGTTGTAGCTATTCAGGCCAGGGGTATGTAGATAGTGTACGATGGACCAGCTACTACTTTTGATCATGTTAGCCGCTGAACACTAAACCACTGTTTCCTTGGAGCCCTAAGTGAGGAGAGGTCTCCATGTTAGGGACTTTCATCTACAAAAAATCACTTTTGTAGGTCATTATAGTAAAAGTGGTCCAAATCACCTGTTAGCGAATTTCCCTATAGGGAAGTAGCTATTACCGTAGGTGGCACGGTAAGACCTAGACCCGGGACCGATTTACTTTTTCATTTTGATGTCCCCAGAGGCCAAAAACACCATTCGTTCAAATTTTTATATATGTATATATATATATATATATATACTTATATATATATATATATGTCCGTGAACGCGATAACTTGAGTAATTTTTGTCCGATTTTGATGAAATTTGGTTTAAAGGTGTAAAGCGGGATAAACTTGAATGAGTTCGCGAACCAGCACGATCGGACCATGGGAACGGGGCTTTACGGGGGGTTTTATGGGGTAAAAATTGGTTTTTCTCACTTTTGACCCTCAAAACACAAAATTTCCCGATTTCTCTTTTAACCTTTTTAAAGAACTTAAAAAACAAATAATTTAGTATATAAAAGTTTTTTTGTTCAATTATTAGTAACGGAGAAAATTAAAAAAATTGTAAATTTAAAATTCCCATCTTATTCTTATGGAGAATATTGTCAAATGTTGTAGTTTGCTTGTTTATGGATATATTTTGATCAAACTTGGCAAATTCATTTATTTTGTACTAAGCTATCAATATTTTACTCAAAAACACACTTTATTAGTTTCCTTGTAGCAGCAAACCTAGGTACTCGTTAAACCTAATGTTATTAAAATAAATTTAACTGAAAATCAATTCAGACAAATGGAAATTCGCTTAGTCGGCAGGTTTGCTGCGGCGGGGGTATTTTGGTTATTAGTATAATAATCGTCCCAGTGACGTCATTTGTTTATGTTTATGATCTATACCGTTACTGTTTTATTCTCCGTGGATATTGACTTCTAGCAGAATCGCGTTAAATACTGACAATAATTTACCAATTTCTTTAAAATCCGAAACATCACTGGTCCAATAATGTCCAGATGTTTCACAACTTAAACATTGTTTGGTCAATCTGTATTTATAGGAAACTCGAGTCGAGTGTTGTAAATAACAAGTATCTGAAGGGGAAAGCCAAGTTTACCGATGTAATAAAAGAGCCGCTTTCATCGGAGAACAAATATTTACCGACCTTTCGATCGTCTCCCGCCGTATCCGCCTTTATTTTCAGATTTCCCGATTTCCTTCTGATCGGGTGGAATCGGAAATCGATTTGTGTAAGTCGGTGTTGCGAGTGCAGTTGGGAGGAAACCGCCAACAGCGTGTATTCTGGATTGGACCTACGAACTATTAAAAATGCATCTAAAACCTAACTATTTTTTATGACAAATTTACGAATTTTTGTTTTTAATTTTAACTAAGACTTCTCTCTGGACGCTTAGCTATGAATTGTTTGTGATTTTATATTGAAGTAACCTTGATATCGATATAGTAATTCGTTAATTTATACTTACAAAATCAAACTTTAGGCAGTTTTATTTTTACCACTGTAAGGTTAAGCGTTACCAATATTCAAATGTTATCTAATACATTTATTTTGGACGTGTTCTTTCGTTAATAAAAAAAAAATGTGTCGAAATTTGGAATCTGACCCAGCATCTATTTGACGATAAATAGGGCAACTTTCGCTATTTGAGAACCCATTTCTTCATAGCATTACATCTCAATTTCAATTTCTCAAGTTGGTTATGCGTTTGAGAGTGTATTTATTAGACAGGTTTTATTTGGTTTCGTGGTTCCACTTAAATTATCATGGATTTCATTTCAGTGGTTATTGTGTGAATTTTTCCGGTACGTTAACCCCAATATTTGACCAATGAACTCAAATTTACTACGGTACCAAAAATTAGCATAAAAAATAAGTGTTTTGTCCTCGTCTCTCGATATGAATCTCAATCACGTGTTATTAACATACTAAACATTGATGCATTTTATTTAGACTGATATGACTAGCAGTTTATACTAGCACATAACTCCATCCCTCCCTTATAATCTTATCGTCATGCAGGTCGGAAGCCACCTTTGTCAGATAACCAGTACCACCGTAGACGTAACTCTAGAAGGTAAAAACCTCTGTGTGAATCAACGATCACATAAGAGCTCACCTAAACCTGCAGTGTCTGGCCTTTGACACTGGTCGGGTTCATTTACATATCTTGAATAGTCCTGTTTGTACGTTTAGAAAGCTCTCTAAAGATCTTTAGAGGTTTAAGGTTTAACTGTCTTAAATACCTCGAAACTTGGCAAATGGTCACAATCCATGAATCCCATGACTGTCCATGATTGCTTTATGTAAACCTTAAAACGCATTGTTCTTCGTTCACCGTTTAAAGTATCGAATAAGACATGAATATTTTACCCCACAAGTTTGGCAATAGTTTAGAATTTTTGTATTTTATTCCTTTGAAAAAAAAAAAAAATGGTGGCAATAATTAGGTGTACCATCGCCTCCCGTTGGTGTGTGGCAACGTCACAACGTTTTGCCTATTTCCTTGGCAATAATAGAAATAACAAAAGTGTACACATAAACATTTCTTTTAATTAGTGCAACAGCTGTTTCGGTTTGCCAAGACAGCGGTTTTGCCACTTTTGTCTCGCCGCGGCCTTCTATTAGATGAGGTGTTACATATTAAATAAAAGATGTGTAAAATAAAATAGGTGTATTCTGAATTGAATCCTAAATAACAATGATTGTAAACAAAAACAAAGTTAACTTATTAAATATAACATATGGTATTTTGTTAAACATACAGTATGTTAGAAAAGACACATCAATTTCCCCCTTTAAAGTCTTGATCGCAGCATTTGATCTACATGTCGTCTGCATGTTACTCCGTTCTCCAGTTCAACGTTGTAATGTAGATTTCCATCTCTTGATGTAACTTTTCCGAAACTCCATTTTGTCTGACCCTTGTAGTAGTTTCTCACTTGAACACGGTCTCCCACCTTAAATATGCGTGTTATACCTTTAGGTTTGTCTTTTGAGTCCTCGATTCTAGAAGGTATCATAACACTGAGGTATGTTCTTACTTGTCTGTTGAACATGAGATAGTATGCCGAGTTTCCTGTTGAGTTTGGTACTTGACGGAGTTGAATTAACGCCTTGTGAATTTTACTGTCAAGTGTTCCTGGTTCATCTAATATCGACTTCAACATCTTCTTCACTGTTTGTACAAAGCGTTCAGCTTGTCCATTAGATGATGGGTGGAACGGAGCAGTAGTTTTGTGTTGAGTTCCACATGACTTAAGAAACTCTTGAAAAGTAAGAGAAGTGAAACTTCGTCCATTGTCTGAAATTAGGAGGCTTGGAAGACCAAAAGTACTAAAAAGTTTCTTCAACTCCTTAATAGTCCAATCGGTAGTTGCTGTTTTTGTGGGTATTACCTCTACCCATTTGGAGAAGGCATCAACAACAATGAAAAATTGTTGTCCATTTGTTGGGCCCATGAAATCTATATGTATTCTCTCCCATGGCTGAGTTGCTGGTTCCCAAGGATGGTTGATCTCTTTCGTTGGAGAATTTTGTTTCTCACGACAAGGCTTGCAAACAGCAATCATGTTTTCAATGTCTTTATCCATTCCTCTCCAAAAGCAGTAACTTCTTGCCAAAGCTTTGGTTTTTACTATACCAATGTGCCCGTAGTGTAGTTCATTGAGAGTTCTTTTCTTGAGGGAATTTGGGATGATTACTTTCCACCCTTTGAAGAGGCATCCTTCATGTAATGTAACTTCATTATCGTGAAATCCCAATGGCTCTAATGATTGACCCTCCTCAAGAGCCTCAAGAATTTGTTTTAGATATGCGTCCTTCTTAGTTTCTTCGGCTAGTTCTTTGGGATTGATAGTTATGGTGTTCAATTGGTTTGTTTGAAAATGTCCAAACTGGTCAATACTTGTAAATTTTGAATCTTCCACAGGAAATCTTGAGAGGAAATCTGCATTCCCATGGTCACCAGTTATCTTGAATTCAATTGTGTAGTTAAATCCTGATAAAAAATGGGAGTAGTTGAATAGTCGCGTAGCTGACATTGACGGTAGGCTCTTGTTGGGATTGAAGATTGACACTAATGGTTTATGGTCCGTGATGAGTGTGAAATGACGTCCGTAGCAATAAGAAAAAAATTTCTTCAACCCCCAGTATATACCTGTGGCTTCTTTATCGATTTGGCTGTAATGTTTTTCAGCATTGGTCAATGATCTTGAAGCAAAAGCTATAGGCTTTTCACTTCCATCTGGGAAACGATGTGATATCACTGCTCCAAGTCCCACTGGTGAAGCAAGGATCAATGGCAGGTCTGGGTTAAAGTGACAAAGAACTGTGTCACTTGTTATTCTTTTCTTGATGTTTTGGAAACTTTCTTCACACTTACTGTCCCATATGAATGACTGCCCTTTTTTTAGAAGTCTATTTAAAGGA